TGTGCACTGAAGTGCTGACCAATTCGTTCCAATTGGGTATTGCCTACCTGTGCTCGTTTCTCGTTTTTGTGATGTGTCACTTAGAAGAATGGTTTCCAGTTCCATCCAGGTTTTCACAAAATATACTAGACTGGACTTTGTATAACTGAGTAGTCCTCCATGGTATGGATATACCATATTTTATCAATCTATTTATATATTGGTGAGTACTTGGGTTGTTTCTATGTCTTTGCAATAGTGAATTGTTCTACTGTAAACATTTGAGTGCCTGTATCTTTTTTATAAAATGACCTTTTTTCTTTGGGTATATAGCCCACAGTGGAATTGCTGGATCAAATGGTCGGGTCTACTCTAATTTCTCTGAGGTATCTGCATACAGTTTTTCATAGAGGTTGTACTAGTTTGCAGTCCCCTGACAGGGCTTAAGAGTTCCTTTTTCTCCACATCCATGCTAGTGTCTGTTGTTTCAGGACTTATTCATATGAGCCATTCTCACTGGAGTAAAGTGATGTCTCATTGTGGTTTTGATTTGCATTTCTCTAATGATTAGAGACACTGGACAATTTTTCATGAATTTATTGCCCATTAGTACACATCTTCAATGAACTTCTTAAAAGAAATGTTTTGCATTTCCCAAGTTACTTTTGAAGGACATGGATTTTTCTGTGCTCTGAAGTTTTAAGCTTTATTTTGCTTTGAATGCCCCTAAGTAATATTAAACAGGAACTTCTGAAGGCCCATTTTAACTGATTCTAATTTAAGACGACATTCTCATTTTCTTTCATAGTGACAACAAATTTTGTAGCCAATAATAGATATGATGTTAAAAACAACCAAAATCAAGTGATTTACATCGTAAATGAAGATTCAGATAGCTGTACGAGGAACACTTGTCCCTCACTAAGGCCCTTCGTCCTCCGGGTCACTGACGGCACGGAGCAGGAAATCATGACAATGCAGAGACCTTGCAGATGCTCCTGCTGCTGTTGCTGCTGCCCCTCAGCCAGACAAGAGGTCAGAGAATGCGAGTCTAACCCATTGCTCCTTTCTGATTCAACTCTTCATGGCATGTTTGTACACCATGGAATACTATGCAGCCATAAAGAAAGATGGAGACTTTACTTCCTTCATGTTTACATGGATGGAGCTAGAAAATGTTCTTCTTATCAAAGTATCTCAAGAATGGAAGAAAAAGTATCTACTGTACACAGCCCTATTATGAAACTAATTTATAGCTTTCATATGAAAGCTATAACCTTATTATAGCCTAAGAATATGGGGAGGGGGGAGGAGGAGGGGAGGAGTGGATGGGTGGAGGGAGGGTGATTTGAGGTATCACCTCTATGATTTATCTTAACAAGGGTACAAGGAATCTTTCTAAAAGTAGAATACAAACATGTTAACACAATAACTAAGAAAATGACATGAAGGCTGTGTTAACCAGTTTGAAGAAAATATTTCAAATTGTATCTGAAAACACCACACTGTACCCCATGATTACATTAATGTACACAGCTATCATTTAATAATTTAAAAAAAAAACTACACAGGAACGACTTTCATTGGCCTTGCCAGTTAAAATGGAAAAAGATAGTGGGAAGAGAAAAAGCCAATTGTCTCAACTAAGGAAACTCACAAAGGGCTTTCCTTGTGAGTTCATACTCTTCACATGTTGGTTGGTGGGTCAAGCACAAAGTAGGGTTGTTTATACAATTTATGAGATTGACCTTAGTCACATACATTTATGCAAATATACCTACGTAGCTAGGTATACATAAACACACTTTTAGAATTGTTAGGGATTTTTGAGACCTTTACTTATCCATCCTAGCTTATATCTTTCTGTAGATAGAGAGTAGCTCAAAAGGTTAAGGGCCACAGGGGTGCCACACTTGGCAGTAGATAGCAAATGTGCTGAGTTATAAGTTTGGTTTCTCTTTTATTATCTGTTCAGTTCCAGAAAAGTTATTTGTTAAAGGGAACAGAAAAGCACTTTTAGAGAGAGGTTAACCAGAGTTTGAATTCTAGATATGCCACCTACTAAATTTGTATAAATCCCTTAATCTTTTTGAAGTTTAATGTTCTTATTCATAAACTGGGTAGAACGATACTTCATAGGATTACTAGGATATTAAAATGACATTTTAAATAACAGAATTTACAAAATATCAGTTTATTTACAACTCTCTCTGTGCCTTAGTTTATCTGTAAAGCAGAGATAACAAAGCCATTCATATGATAGTTTGATTATTGCAAGGTGAAGTCAGTTCCTGACCACATTGCCTGGCAAGTAGTACATGCATAGGACCCAATTAATATTCTCTATTGTTCTCAGATATCTTACTCCTTTGTCATTACTGTTTTTGTAATAACAGCCTCACAGTTGAAGTGAATCTCTACCTCTTGTCCTCAACCCTTTTAGATATAGCAGGCATTTTTCTTCATATTTGTGAATTGGTTTTTTTTTTCATCAAAGCCCATAATGTAAGGCAGCCATGATAGCATAAAAGAAATCAAAGTTGCAAACTAGTCCCATTTATGAAGTTTTATCCCATAATTTTATCTAGGTTTGTTTTATCTCTTCAGTTTTACTTGTATTCACTTGTGGGTATGTGAGTGTATAGTTTGTGCAGTTTTATCAGTTCTCAATCAATTATCAGTTCCATCATTTGCCAGATGAAATGCAGTTTTACCGATTGTATGCCACTGTAATACAAACCCCAAACTGTTCCATCATCACAAAAATCCCCTCTTGCTACCTTACCCACTTTCCTATCTCCTCTTCGTCCCTAACCCCTCCTAGTCACTGACCTGTTCTCCATCTCTATAATTTTGTCATTTCAAAACGTTATATAAACAGAATCATATATGTAATCTTTTATCATCCAGTGTAATTACCTTGATATTCAGACAAGTTTGTACACATCCAGTTGTTCATTCCTTTGTATGTCTGAGGAGTATTCCATGGTATATTTTTTAAAGTAATTTATTTTTTGAAAGTTCTGATTTTTATCTCTTAGGCTTCACATCATAGAAGCTAACAGCTATAGGTAGCTATCGAATGTGTGTGCTTGTATATAGGTGTGAATTTGTATGTATGAACAATCATATCTTTATCTGACAATTCCTGAAGGCCCTATTTCCTGTGTAACCCTTTCTGTAACTTCTTAGGAAAGCATATGTGATGACACCAGAGAGATAGTCAATAAAATTGTACTTAAGCTTTTAATGCATAATTTAATCATCATGAATCGTTTTTAAAATTCATATTAATTTGAGAGTAGAAATGATTGGTCTCATTGTTTGTGTTTCTAAGGTCAAGTTCAAGTTGTTGAGCATTTCATCCCGGGGGTGTGCTGTCCACCTTCACCATGTGCCCATCAGGGGCGAGCTCTCCAATCCCCTTTCCTTCTCCCCTTTTCCCTTTCCCTCTTTCCTCCTCCTCCCACTTGAATATACTCATGTTATTCTCTTATAAGGGCATGGAGCTGTTTTTCTATTGGTTTCATATTAGTGTTGAGTACACTGGATACTTGCATTTCCATTCTTGTGATACTTTACTAAGAAGAATGTGTTTCAACTCCATCCATGTAAATGTAAATGATATAAGGTCACCATCCTTTTTATGGCTGAGTAGTATTCCAGGGTATACATATACCACAGTTCATTAATCCCTGCTGTGTTGATGGGCACTTGTGTTGTTTCCATGTCTTGGCAGTTGTGAATTGAGCTGCCAATGTCCTTCTGATATAGTGGTTTATTTTCTTCCAGGTGGCTACCTAGTAATGAAATTGCATGAACAAATGGAAGGTCGGCATTAGCTCTTTGAGGATTCTCCATACTTCTTTCCATAGAGGCTATATCAGCTAGTAATCGCACCAACAGTATAAAAGTGTTCTCTTCACATCCATGCCAACATGTGCAGCTTGGAGATTTTTGTCATTTGGGCTGTTCTCACTGGAGTTAGGTGATATCTCAGGGTGGGTTTGACTTGCCTTTCTCTGATGATTAGGGACAATGAGCATTCTTTCCTGTGTCTGTTGTCCTTTTTTCTATCTTCTTTGGAGAAGGTTCTGTTCAGATATCTTGCCCAGTGCTAGATGGGATTGTCTGTTCTTTCTTTGGTGATTAAGTTCTCTGTAGCTTCTAGGTACCAACTCTTTGTCAGATTCATAACATGCAAATATCTTTTCCCATTTTGATGGTTGTCTATTTGCTTTGATTATTGTGTCCTAAGCTGTGCAGAAGCTTTTTAGCGTAATTAACTCCCATTTTTTAAATTTTTGCTGTTGTTGCCATTGCCAATTCTGTCTTCTTCATAAAATCTTTCCCCAGACTGATATCATCTAGAGTTTTTCTGATGCTTTCCTCTAGGATTTTTACTGTCTCCTGTTTTAGTTTTAAATCTGTTATCTATTATGAATCATTGTTTTATGGATTATACTCTTATAATAGTCATTGAAATATTCTGCTTCTACAGACTACCAACCAAACTTCTTGGACTCCATCTGCTTTCATTAACTAAATTTTAAACATACAGGTCTATGCAAATTATTATATCAAATATCAGATGAAATTCATCTATACAAACTACCCATAATATGATTGATCCAGCATAACATTTCTCTAATGACTACAATTTCCAGATTTATTATTTCCTTTTCATATTAAGCATTACCAAAGACACAAGAAGTCCACAAGCTATGTCGTTAGTTATTATATAAAGACATATTTGGTTAAATCAAAGAACCAGTACATGGCATAGTGTGGCTATTCACCTTATCATTAATCTTTTCTTTTTAAATGAACAGAGATATACATCTCTACAATAATTGTTGAGAGTTCAATATCTCACTTTCAATAATGGATAGATAAGTGAGAAAATAAAGGACTTAACTAATGCAATAAACCAACTAGTTAGATGTAGTACAATAAATAATTGTACTAATACAGATTACAGTATCAGATCTAATACAATAAATATCTGACTAGTTGGTTTATTGTATTATTACAAAAAAAAGGATGGGTCATTTTTTTAATGACTCATCATATTTTGTAAGTGGTAGGAGTTGTGGGTCTAGTTACAGTCTTTTACCAATTATCCCAGAAACATTTATTGAATAGGGATATGATGTTGTTTGGTTTATTGTAGATCGGATGGTTGTAAGAGGCTGGTTTCTTTCTCTGAGTTTTCAATTCTGTTACATAGTTCTGCTTCTCTATTTTTGGGCCAATGCCATGCTGTTTTGATCACTGATGTCTCCAGATTTGTTTTCAGTGCAAAGGATTGCCTTGACTATACGTTTTTTTTCTGGTTTCATACAAAGCCAAAACCTATTTTTTTATGTTCTTCAAAGTCTGATATTGGTATTTGAATGAGAATTACATGAAATCTGTAGAATGCTTTAGGTAGTTTAGACATTTTAACAGGCTGATTCTTCTCGGCCAAGAGCATGGTAGGTTTTCCCATTTGTTAATGTCTTCTGCTATTGCTTTTCTCAGGGTTTTATGGTTCCCCTGTAGAGATCCCTCATCTCTTTTGTTCAATACATTCCTAGGTATTTAGTTTTCTTTGAAACTACTGTGAGGGGTATCACAGCCTTGATTTTCTTCTCAGCTTGGTAGTTATTGGCATGTACAAAGGCTACTGATTTGTAGATATTTATTTTATGCCCTGGGATGTTTCTGTATTACTTGATCACTTTCAGAAGTCTTGTGCTTGAGTCTCTGGGATTTTCTAAGTATAAGATCATATCATTGGCAAAGAGTGAGTGTTTGACCTACTCTGTCCCCATTAGAAGACCAGTAATATCCTTCTATTCCCTGACTGCGTTGGCTAAAACTCCCAGCACTATGTTGAATAATAGCAGTGTAGTGGACGTCCGTGTTTTGTTCCAGTTCTACTCCGTTCACTATGATTTTGGCTATGGGTTTGTCATAGATGGCTTCTATGAGTTTTAGATATGTCCCCTCTATGCCTAATTTCTTAAGTTTTCTTATCAGAAAAGGGTGAGGAATTTTATTGAATGCTTTTTCTGCTTCTCTTGAGAGGATCATGTGGTCTTTGGTTTTGCTTCTATTTATCTGGTGAATTGCCTTTATAGATTTACATTTGCTAAATCAGCTTTGCATCCCTGGGATGAAACCCACTTGATCTTGATGTGTAATTTTTTTTAATGTGTAGCTGTAATCTATTGGCTAAAATTTTGTTAAGTATTTTTGCATTGATATTCATTAGTGAAATTGATGTATAGCTTTTTGTAGTTGGATCTTTTCCTGGTTTTGATATCAGGGGGATGTTTTCTTCATAAAAGGTGTTGGGGAGGTTTTTTCCTTCTCAATGTTTTGGAATAGTTTCTGTGGTATGCCTAATTTCTTTGAATATTTGATAGAATTCTGGTGTGAAGCCATCTGGTCCTGAGCTGCTGCTTCTTTTTTTTTTTTTTTTTTTTTCAGGAGCTTTTTTATTATTTCTTCAACTTTGTGCTTGCTATTGGTTTGTTCAAGAGATCTTTCTTCCTGGTTCAGTCTAGGAAAAGGGTGTGATTCCAGGTATATTTGTCCATTTCCTCCACATTGTCAAGTTTCTAGATATAGAGTTTTTGTAGTAATCAGATATGATCTCTGGCATCTCTTTGGTATCTGTGTTTCCCCTTTTTTCATTTTTGATTGAGGATATTAAAGACCTTATTTTTCTGTTTCTAGTTAATCTGGTCAAAGGTTTATCAATTGTGTTTATCTTTTCAAAGAACCAACATTTTGTTTTGTTAATTGTCTGAATGATGCTTTTGTATTCCTTTTCATTAATTTTTCTTTAACTTTGTTTTTTTATTTTCTTCTATGTAAATCACATGTTAATTTTTAAATAAGATGTTAATTCTTCACAAATGCATATTATAAAGATAATTAGCTAAATAGGCTAGTGAGCAAATTTTCCAAACTCTCTTAATATAGCTATACGCAAACCTTGTTCTTTTCGTAATGTACCATATTCAAGGAGCATCTTTTCTCTCATGTGTTGTTATAATTGTTGTATCTGAGGTGTCAGTTTTACCCAACTTAAAATCTGAGAAGTTAGCTTGTTACTGTTTGATTTATTGTGTCTGAAGACTTGTGACTCCTAGATCAAAGACTAAGGGCATTAAAACTGCACAGCAAGCAGCCTGAACCTCAGTATGTTTCTGTAGGTTCATTGTGTAGGTTCATTAACACAGAGAAGCCCAGGTGATGTACCTTAGAGACACTGTGCTTGGACAACTGACTACAATACAACATACATCAATTAAGGCTGCTATTTATCTCAAAGGAAATGTGACCTTATGCCTTGTGAGAACTCACTGAAATACATTCATTAAGAATGAATGGTTAGTTTGGGTGAAATGGAAGATGTTCTCTCTTAGCAATAATTTCCTGAGTCTTGGGGGAATACAAACACCTCTATATGGTGTATCTGTGTGTACATGTATACACGTGCATATACCATTCTAACCTCTGTGACTAATTATTTGCAGATGGAGGTGCAATGTCCCCCTGGAGTCACCCTTGGCTTTGTTAGTGAGGATTGGAGTTTGTGCCGGGCAGTTTACAGCATTCAAAATGAGAAGAAAGAGAATGAGATGAGAGTGCGTGGACCATGCATGGAGTCTGGTTCAGTGACTGTTTATGAGGTGAACATATGTAAATAGGATTTCTTGGCTATATTCTTTCTACATGTGCTAACAGACTTCAGAATGATCTGATTTTAGACTTTTTTTCCCCATGTAAATGAATAAAGTAGCATGAGGAAAGAATTACCTAATCAGTTGGCATACAAGCATTTTAAAATTATTGTTAGTGGATTGCTTGATGTTTTTGAACATGTGAGTTCCTCTTTTATGATTTCAGTGCCTGGTAAAAATAAAAAGAAGCCATTTACAACACTAAACCTGAGAATAAACAGCTTGATATGACTCATTTATTAAATTTTTGGCTACATTTAATTAACAATTTTGTCCAAGGATTTCCAGGATAGGATTATAGGTAAGTTCTGTGGAATGCAAGTGCACGACATGTCACAAGACTTATAAAGCACTCCCAAGGTTATGCAAACTCCTTACTTCTATGATAGGAATCTGTCAGCATCCTCAAGAAATAGGATAACACTGGTAGCATGGAAACTTATCATAGGTTATAACATTTTCTCAAAAAAGAGAAAAATCTTTTTCTTTTGTCTTTGTCTCATTGCTTACAAAAGGACTATTCATCATCCTAGGACTCTTAGAAACGTAATGCTTAGGAAGATTTCCTAGACTTCTTAAAAGAGTATTTTCAGAATGCGTTGAGATTTCAGCAAGATTCATCATCTACTAAAATTGCTTATTTGAATGTTTCCTGTGATATCCAATAAATTTTTCTTAGTTCTCTTTTTATATGATTATATCATTAAGCATTCCCTATTCACAGACCAAGTCAGGTGACCCAATTGCCAGGACAAGCTGTGTGTGATCACTCCCACTGTCAAGTGACTGTAGAAGTTGGTATTTGGATGTTTTCCCTGTGAAAAGCATCAGATCCCCCTTTTATAAACTGAGGCCCTTCGGTATATTAAACAGACAGGGTGGATTTGACTTCCAAGAGCTTGAGTGATGTGAAAAGCACAGTGCCTCCCCTGCATTACTCCTAGGTTTTTCTAGATTGGAAGTGACCTCTTACTAATCTCTAATTCCCATCCTTTGCTATGGCAAGAAGAATGTTTTTGTAATCCATTCAAATCCTACTTTCTCTGACAAGGTCCTCTGAAAACTCACTTGAAGATGCAGAAACAGCAATACCCTAAGAATTATAAGATGTCCCCGAGCTGAACTGTTAACCAGCTGTAAAGAAACTTAACCCTTCTTGCCTGTAATCATCTCCTATTTGACATGATGTGGTTACCGTATTCTTTTCTTGCATTGTTTGCATAGTCTCAGTGTAGACCGCTTCTCAGTAAAACATGAAAATATGTACTCGAATGCCTTTTGATCACATGACCTCCAATACTTGTCATTCTAGGTCACATCCCCTGATGGTGTATCCCACATTGGCAGCATTATTCGGAAGTGGCGTGGTATGTTATCTGAAACAAGAGATGCCGACCACTTTGACATTCAGTTCCCCTTGGATTTGGATGTGAAGATGAAGGCCATGATTTTGGGAGCTTGTTTCCTCATTGTAAGTTTTTTTTTTTTCAGTTATGCTAAGAGACTTGTTCTTTTTGATAAGCAGTGTAATGTAGTAGAAAGGTAATAATTTTTGAAATGAGGCCAGCTTCTGTTGGTGCTACATACTAGTTTCATGTTTTGCAAAAGGTGTTAGTTTCCTCTTCTATCAAGTTGGGACCAAAATACTTACATTTTTCAGGATTATGACTATTAGCTATCATGTGAGTACAATGGCTAGGTAGGTACTTAGAAGATCTGAGGTATGCCGTGGGTGTAATTGCAATCACTGCCTCTATTTATTATTCTCACTAAATAAAAATGCCTATGATTCCCTAGGGAAACGCTCCAGCCAGTGTCCTCCCCCTCTTTCTTAAGCCTCTCTTTCAGCGTTGTTCTTGGTGCTGTGCCCTCCTCAGATTGTTATGTTTGTCTTCCTGGTAATGATGAAATATAGCTAATCGGTACAAAATGTATAAACCACCAGTTTTAAGTTTGCAATCGCTGTTCTTTACATTTAATTGTCTTCAAAAATATTTCATTAGATTTAGTTATGTTAAACCTGAATAGGAGGTCCCCCTAATTAATTATAAAGGATCATATTGTATAGCTTATACTTGATTATCTATCTATAAAAATCTTTTTTTCTAATTTCAGGACTTCATGTATTATGACAGTCCTCCATTTCCGCGTTCATCAAAATAGAAGCATGGGACAAATCATCAATTACTACTAATAAAAAAACTAGAAAGGCTGTGACTATAATTTCCTGCTTTGCACATTATTATTATTGAATATTAGCCTTGACAGGGAGGCTAAGAGTCTGAATGAGAGAAAGACATATGCTATCGTCTAAAGACATATGCTTCTGTGTACGTGGTAGACTAGAATTCAGCCCTATGACTCATATGTCAAGTGCTATGAAAAACTGATACCCTAAAAACATGAAATGAAGAAAACTGAATCCCTGAGCACGCCTAGTAATAGGTAGTAAGATGATGGGCTTTCTAGAACAATCTTTGTTGGGATAAAAGAACAGGGCTTTTGTCTTTAACCCTCTCCTACATCTCTCTCAATCAGCATGTCCAACATGCTTGATTTCATGTGAATAAATGATACTCTTCTTCTTTAATAATAATAATAAAAAGCAGACAGAAACATGTTTTATTGTACCAGGAAAGTTTACTTGTGCACCTGCATCAAAGCCTCGATTGGCGAAACTTGTAAAAGTTTCACTGGGAAATTTTAATTTTTATGAAATAAAACATGTATATTGTTGATCTTAACATTTGTATTTTCCAAGTCTGTTTTCTTATTTACTGGGGTGAACAATCAGGAGGTGCCTACCCATGGGGGCAGGATCAGACTCTCAGGAAGTGAGCTGACCAGAGCCAAATGCAGTCAAGATGTCTGGGCAGATTAGAGACCTCAGTGTTCTGATAAGAAACTTGCCTTTAGTACATAATACATCCGTACACTTAACACACAGCCTCTCTTGGTCACAAATGCCTCATATAGAAAATGTGTGTGTCAGAATAGCTAGATTGCCTGTTGTACCTGTGTGGCCTATTTCATGTGACACAGAGGACACAGTTGTTTTTCTTTCAAAAAGACCTTTGCTAGTCACCAAACTGTTCTAATGGCTAAGATTGGAGTTATATGTCTAAATTTTGAAATATGACCCTTTGGTAGTACTTTATAAAAGTTAAAGCCTCCAATTCTGGTGTTGACTGATACTCCTTTGCTGCTTTCTATTCCATGATGGGTAAATACGTACCTCCCCAAGGTAATAAAACCCAGCTAATACGCTAGTTCCCTGCAATCTCAAGCTTATCAGTCAACATTTGAAAGCCCAACGATAAAGTATCGGCTGTACTTGTTTGTGCTGATTAATTGAAAGCGTCATGTGGGGGTGAATACACCCCTATTAACTTGCCTCTATTGCACATTAGCGTCCTGCATGTGTGTGTGTGTGTGCGATGTCTCATACAGTTATGATTTCTGTTGCTTAGAACAATAACACCTGGGCGATATTTTTATAATACAATTCATGTTATAATTTCTGTAGTTTTTAGTGGCATTTCATTGTGTAAAATTGATCATGTTGATAAAAAGCAATAGCCAGTATGCAAATGGGATGTTCTTCGTCTGTTCTTTATGACACAAACACCGAGTGTTCTTAGACGGGTTTCTTCTCACATGAGGGCCTCAGCCCACATTTGTTTTGGAAATGAAACAAATATGCTCCATTTGTAAATTATATTCATCTTTTCTTGGTAAAGTCATTTTACTCAGTTTCTTACAATGTTCATCTTTATATGGTGCTACTGTTTTTTGTTTCATGTAAAAGCTGCTTTAGAAAATATGAATTGCCTTATATTTACAAATGTGATTGCAATCTTAGACATATCCTTCTATATACTTATATATTTAGTGTGAGACATGACATTCAAAATTTCTGTATAAAATTTTGTGGTATTAGCATATCTATGACAGCTAAAATTTTTCTTCCTTTAAAATAAAAACACCATGTGCTTATAATGCAATTTACATTATAATCTTTATCTTTCTTAAAGGCATTTCATTGCATAAAATTGATTTAAAAACTAAAGGGCTATTTTCTGAAACTTGTGCTTTTATACTTTCTCATATTGCTTGTGACTTTTTAATACATATGATTAATAGAAAACTACTGTTTTATTTTTGACTTGTAATTGAATCTTTGAATACATTCTTCAAAGGTATTTTTGAAGTAATTTTCGTTATTAATTAGTATGTTTATCCAAGGTCCTTGCTTTGGTATATAAATTTAATACTATTAAAGTCATTTATTTTAGGGTCGCTGAGTAGTGAGTTTTCTCATAGTACCAATTTATTTATAAATGCTTATTTCTAATTCACTTTTTAAAGATGGATTTAAATTCCATGTACAATTTTGGTGTCCATATACAATGCAGGAAAGTGGCTAGAATTTGTAATTCTCAGTAAAGGATGCATTTTAGAAGAATTTTACCAAGTGACCATATTTCAGGAAATTACAAAGAAAGGCAGGTGGTCATATTCATTTACTGAATTTTCCAACCAAACAAATGTTAAGTTAAATTCAAGTGTAGAATTAGCAGAGGGATTCCAGGTTATGGCCTCTTGCCCCTGTTGGGGCACCTGGCTACTTTTCAGTCTTTTTATCCCCTGGTGTTCAAGGATTGATTTAATTTACACTGAAAGATGCAAGCTTGGAAAAGCCAAGGTTCTGGATTTAATAAACTAATATCAAATTCAGCTGTTTGGCTAATGATAGGTAAAATAGGTTTAAAATAGATGTTTTTAGACTGAAAATAGATCTTTTTCCATAACTTTACAAAATTCATTCCCCATTTGCCTTGAGGTCCCTTATATTGTAAATTTCAGAAACAAGAAAGGCAGAATGATACATTCCAATGGAGGCTGCATCATAAGCTTCCTAATAGCATTTAGCATAGTTGGTAATAGCACATGCTATGCATTTCTTTACATCCACTAAATAAGTAACATACAGTAAATAGACACACTTTTGAAATACTGATTATAGTCATCGGTAAAATTCTGTGTCATCTTTTCCAGTATTTCCTTCTGCTAATAATCACTTTATTGAGCATCTACTAAATTCAGGCACTAAGCTAAAAACTCTTTCTGAATGCAGGAGGGAAATACAAGATTAATAATAAATAAGTATTACTCTCAGGAAATCACAGGTCAGTGGGCCAGACTTGTAAACAAGGAAAACGCACATCTTTGAGGACTACAGTGAACACACGCTCAATGGAGGTCAGCACTTTGAATAAAAGCCATGCCATCAGCACTATTTCAGGTGCTGTATAACGTATTTTTGTCCCATTTAGTCAGACAGGAAAGGCAGGCTGGTTGTGTCATATACCCAGGGAAACCTCTTGGCACTTCTGGAGGTAAATAAGGTACTTTTTATAGCCACATCTGCAGGCTGAATACATGCAATTGAGAAGATCAATTTAGGAAATTTTATTAGGCAAATCAGGGATTGATTGTTTATTACAGAAAACCAGGAGTCGAGAACAATGTCTGTTACAACATGGGTGCCGACTGAATGTTTGTTAAACCAATGAAAATTCTAATCTGTGTATGACACCGCGCTAGGTGTTCAACAAGACAGCATTGAACATGTACTGCTCTATCCCTCAGCAAGGATAAAGCAAGTAAATATGTAATTGCAGCACACAGCTAAGTTATTATTGCATAAAACAAATACAGTTTTGTGTTTAAAATAGATATTATTGGATTATCACAACTATGTCATGAGGTAAATATGCATTTGATTTTGAGAGTAAGAACTTCAAGAGGAGATGGTAATGAGGGGATGGGGTGCTTAGGAATTTCTTTCTCTGTCTTAATTATAATGAAGGAAAATCAAAGGTTTGGATAAAAGATGAGAAAATGAAAGCTCCCTGGAAAGGGGAGAGAAGAACAGGTAGAATTTAGTTCATGCAAGCCGTCATGTGCAATCATGTAATTTTGAGATACGTAGTTGGTACGTTTAGCTCAAGCTTTAATTCTAGCCTGATAAGAATTTGAAGACACATGAGTTAACATGCCCCCATTTTCCTCTATCTCAGTTTTCCTGTGACCTTGACCTTGCTCAAAGTCACCCAACTCGTTAGCTATTCACAAAGTCATTTTTTGAGGCTGGCTCCAGAGACTACAGCTATACTAAACCATAATGCCCCATTCTTTCATCTCTGCTTGTTATTCAAACTCTGTATGTATCCATGGAAACACAAGAAAACTGAGATAGAGGAAAATGAGGGCATGCTATCCCATGTGTTTTCAAATTTAGGATTATGGTTGGGAAACTTGTGAGTCTCCAACGAGTCTTGTCTAAGGGTGAACTGTCTTCAGAGAAGTGTTCTTTTGCTCCTGCTGGTGTCCAGGTGATGTTATCCACTGAAGGCCATTTTTTACGGTCTTTCTATCATGCTAGAACTAAATCATTTTCATTTTTTTTATGGTCTTTCTGATACGATAGAAAAATAACATCTATCTTTCTATAGATAGACCATCTTTCTATCCATCTTTCTATCATCATCATTGAATTCCACATTCTCTGAAAATATATTTAAGTATTTAGGTAAAAGACATTTATTTAAAATGATGCTATCTCTTCTGCAATCCAGGCTTGTGCAATTTTTTAAGGAAAATTATGAGAACTTTTCCATAAACATTTTTAAAAACATGTTTGCTAAAAAGGAATACCTGAGGCCGGGAAATTTAGAAAGGAAAGAGGTTTATTTGGCTCACAGTTCTTCAGGCTGTGCGAGGAGCTTGGCATCAGCACCTGATTCAGGTGAGGGCCTCGGGCTGCCTCCACTCACAACAGAAGGGGAAGGAGATTCTGCCTGTGCAGAGAGCACACAGAGCGAGAGGCAGCAAGAGACAGTGAGGTGGGGAGGCCTGATTGGCTTTTTTGTTTATTGTTGGGGAATCATTGAGAGTGTGATCTACAGCACCCACTCCTCTGGAAAACAGGAGACTCCCTTATACTCATCTCCAGTTAGAGTGTTGAATTGAACATTCCTTAAAGTCTCTTCCCATCTACCTTTATGTTTCTACTTGTTGAATCTCTGCTGGAACCAAAACCAAGCTACCTCCTGAAAAGAACACATAGGGTGATGCTGCTGCCGACAGCAGCTACCATG